TGCTTATAATCCCAGCTACTCGGGAGGCTGAGGCAGGAGAATCGCTTGAACCCGGGAGGCAGAATATTTACCCAGAGAAAATATGTCCACACAAAGATCAAGTGCTTATAGCAATTTTATTCATAACTGCCAAAAACTAGAAACAACCCAAATGTCTGTCAGTTAGTAAATGGATAAACAAATTGTGGGAGAGCCACAAAAATGGAATGAAGCAAAAAAACTACTAATACACGTAGCTACACAGAGGAATCACAAATTCTGCTAAAGGAAAGAAGCAAGATACAAGAAACTACAAACTATATGTCACCACTTAAATGACATTCTGTAAAAGGAAAAAATCAGATCAACGGTTTCCAGAGGCCAGAGAAATGAGAGGGGATCGATTACAAAGGGGCCCGAGGGAACTTCCTTGGTGTGATAGAAATATTCTATACATTGATTATGGCATTTGTTACATGACTGTATATATTTGTCAGAACTTAAAGAAATGTACACCTAAAACATGTGAACTTTACTGTATACAAATTGTATCTCGGCCGCGCGTGGTGGCTCATGCCTGCAATCCCAGCACTTTGGGAGGCCGAGGCGGGTGGATCACCTAAGGTCAGGAGTTTGAGACCAGCCTGGCCAACATGGTGAAACCCCATCTCTACTAAAAATACAAAAATTGCTTGGGCATGGTGGCAGATGCCTATAATCCCAGTTATTGGGAGGCTGAGGCAGGAGAATCACTTGAACCTGGGAGGCGGAGGCTGCACTGAGCTGAGATCATGCCACTGCACTCCAGCCTGGGAGACAAAAGCGAGACTTGGTCTCAAAATTTAAAAAATTTTAAAAAAAAATTGTATCTCAATAAATTTGATGCTAAAATAAGAAAAGTAGATATAGTGTGGAATGGTTAAGAGCAGTCTCTGATGGAAGAAAAACTTTGCAAACCGTACCTCTGCTAAAGGACCAATATTCAGCATACATAAAGAACTCCTACAACTCAACAACAACAAAATAAACAACCCAATTCAAAAATGGGCAAAGAACTTAAATAGACATTTCTCCAAAGAAGACCTATAAATGGTCACAAGGCCCATAAAAGATGCTCAACATCACAAATCATTAGGCAAATGCAAGTTAAAACCACGAGATCCACTTCACACCCGTTAACATGACCATTAGAAAAATAAATAAATAACAACTGTCGGCCAGGACGTGGAGAAACTGGAATCCTGGTACACTGCTGATGGGAATGTGAAATAGTGCAGCCACTGTGGAAAACAATAGGTTGATTGCTCAAAAAACTAAACGCAGAATTACCATGTGATCCAGCAATTCCACTCCTAGGTATATATCCAAAAGAATTAAAAGTAGAGACTCAAACGGGTAGTTGTACACCCGTATCACAGCAACATGATTCACGGTAGCCAAGAGGTAAAAACAACCTAAATGTCCATCAACAGATGAATGGTTAAAGAAGTGTGGTGTATCTATACAATGAAATACAATTCAGTCTTAAAACGGAATAAAATTCTGACACATGCTACAACGTGGATGAACTTTGGGGGTATTATGCTAAGTGAAAGAAGCCAGAAACAAAGGGACAAATACCTTATCAGTATGAGGTCCCTAGAATGACAAATTCATAGAGACAGACAGTGGAATGGTGGTTACTAGGGGCTGGGGGAAGGCAGGAATGAGGAGTTGTGTAATGGAGACAGAGTTTCCGTTTGGGATGGTGAAAAAGTTCTAGAGATGGACAGTGAGAATGCTTGCACAACATTATGAATTATTTCATGTCGTTGAATTGTACACTTAATAATTCCTAGAATGGTATTTTGTGTTGTGTATGTTTCACCACAATTAAAAAAAAAAAAAAAAACACAGTCTCTGGACTTGAACTGCATAGGTTCAAATCCCAGCTCTGCTACTTATAGGACAACCGTGAGCAAATTACTACTCTCTATGTCTCATGTTCCTCAGCTCTCAAATGGAGATAAGCAATAAACCCCACCACACAGCGTTGTTGTGAGCATTGTAAATTGTAAAGTGCTTCCTATGGTACCTGGCACGCTAGAAGCACTCAGCAAATGCTGGCCATTGTTATGGGCCATGATCCATTATGTGATGCTTTGCTGGAAATGGTTCCATTACCTTTTCTACATTTCCATGCAGGTATCAGTCATTCCATTTTTTTTTAAATGTACATAGATACTATTCCAGACAGAACAAATTTAAAGTAGAAAATTATATAACCCAATAATCATTATCTTATTAATTTTTCTTGAAACACTTTCTCCACTACAAATCACAGGTGAATGCATCTGAAATTACTTAAAGGTGATGTGACTCCAAAAAGAAAAAAAATCCTGATTTGCACAGCTGGAGACAGACCCCCAGACCAGACCACAGGCTTGGCGAGCCCCGCCCAGCCCAGAGCCAGCCAGAGGGCCTTCGTGGCAGCGGGTGAGGGAGGTACTCACCGATCCAGCATTCCAAGCGCGCACAGGGCGTGGTCTTCACCACATCGGGAGGGTCCACACCAACATTCAGGCACAAAACTAAGGCAACACTTACTGTCTTCATCTGAAAGCATAACAGAAAAAAATATACATATATATTTCAATATGGAACTCATGTATGTGTTTTTCCAGCTTTTAAAATGTCCCCCAGAACACTGAGCCCCTTCCCCACCCCCCTGCCCTCCAGCCAGCCCTCCACCTGTCACCTGGCTATCCCAGCCCTAGTGCAGGAGTGACGCCCTTCTCTGAAGGCAGGGTTTCACAGCAAGGGTGGCAGGTGGTGAGAGGGACGTAGCAGGAAGGGCTATTCTCAGGCTTATGATAAATCTCCAGAAACGGAATTATTTGATCAAAAGCTATAAACATTTTAACACACTCAATACATTCTGCCAAATTCCTTTGCAAAAAAAATTACACAAATTTACACTCCCACCAGATATTAAACCAGATATAAAATCCTTGTTATTTAAAATCATCAATCATTTAATGAGAAAAGCTGTCGTGTTGATTTAGTTTGCATTCGTTCACATCAGTGATGTTGCCTGGTTCTCCTAGCGTTGTTCACTGTTCTCACTGCCTGCGTTGTTCACCCTCCATGGACCATCTACTCATTCCTCGTACTTACACTGTGGCATGGCCACACTGACCTCTCGGCCCTCAAACCCACAGTTCCCTCTGCTGAGAGTTCCCCTCCCCTGGGTCACCTGGCCGGCTCTGACTCTCTCCTCGGATCTCAGTTTAAAGATCAATTTCTTGGGGAGGCCTTCTCTGGATACCCCTCAACACACCTTCCACACTCCCCATCGGGGTGGAACCAGCTGGGGAACGCTGCGATCGCACCTATCCTTTCCTCCTGGCAGAGCGCCAGCCCATGGACACTCCTCAGTGGGCCAGAGGCTCAAGTCCACTCTTTTGAGCAAAACCCTGGCCCTGACTAGGTGCTAACTATCTGCGGAATGAGGGAAGACATGTATTTCAGTACAGTGTTTCTGTTTTACACTGACCCTTTAAGCTGTATGGATGTTACTTATTCTGGTATATGATACAAGAAAAGGATTAACTTTTTCTCATAAAACTAGCCAGTTGTGTCAATCTCTGTTAAATAATCTGCCTCAAACTCATAGGTGTGCACAGATACATATATTAATTCTCACAGAGACAAAATTCTATTACTGGGTAATCAAATTCATCCCATTAACCTATCAACCAATACTTCTACTAGTACTACATTAATTTAACTAATTTATCTTTATATTTCATAATACTTAGGTCATTTTTCACCCTCAAATTTTTTTTTTATTTTACTTAGCTATTTATATTCACTTATTTTTTTCAAATCAGTTCTTCAATCTTTTAATCCCATTGGGATTTTTATTAAAATTGCACTGAACTAAAATTGCAATGAAGTTTAATTTGAACTTAACGTTAAGAAGTAACATCCTCATAATATTCTATTTTCTATACAGAACATAATATGGTTCTCCATTTACTCAATGTTCCTTTAACTGTTTTCAGTAACATTCTTATAGTTTTCTTCACGAATAAATCCTGTGCATTTCTTACTGGGATTATTCCTAAGATCTGGGTGTTCCATAGATCAGTAGAGTGATGACAGTTAACATTAATTTAATTGACAGTACATTTTGAGCAGCTAGAAGTGTATGGTGGTGTGCACCTGTGGTCCCAGCTCAGGAGGCTGGGGCAGGAGCATTGCTTGAGCCCAGGAGTTTGAGGGTACAGTGTGCAATGACTGTGCCTGCCAACTGCCACTGCACTCCGGCCTGGGCAACACAGCAAGACCCCATCTCTAAAAATAAATAAATGAATAAATCATTTTTAAAATACCTAAAGAAAATAATTTGCATGTTCCTAGCATAAAGAAAAGATAGGCCGGGCATGGTGGCTCACCCCTGTAATCCCAGCACTTTGGGAGGCTGAAGCAGGCAGATCACCTGAGGTCAGGAGTTCAAGACCAGCCTGGCCAACATGGTGAAACCTCATCTCTACTAAAAACACAAAAATTAGCCAGGCGTAGTGGTGTGCACCTGTAATCCCAGCTACTAAGGAGGCTGAGACAGGAGAATTACTTGAACCCAGGAGGCAGAGGTTGCAGTGAGCTGAGATTGTACAACTGTACTCCAGCCTGGGCAATAGACCAAGACTCCATCTCAAAAAAAAAATAAAAAGAAAAAAGAAAATGATAAATACTTAAGGTGATAGGTATCTCAATCACTCTGATTTGATTATATGAATGTATAAAATTATCACCAATAAAAATGTTTTTAATTTTTAATTTTAAAATTATTTCCAGATATTTCATGAGTATTTCAGGGAAATACATATTTCCCCATAACAGTTTCTTATTGATAATTGTTGCTATATAAGAAAAATGGTTAGTTCCTTTACTACATTCTTAGTTAAACGTAATTGCTTTTTGGTGATTCTTTCAGGTTTTGAAAGTACACAACTATACTATCTAAGAAAAATAAGTCTGCCTCGTTCTTTCCAATAGATCATTCCTCTTGTTTCAGTTTTAGGTCTTCATCTTTTATCAGGAGAAAGCACTGAAAATCAGAACAACAAAAGTCACTGTATTTAATTAGTCATCCAATATTTAAGTAATATTTAAGTAATCGGTATCCATAATCCCAAATCCCAATTATTGTATAGCAAACTCAGCCTTTGCGGATACACTGCTTAAAACTAGACATTTTCTGGAAACGTTTCTGTGGTCTTCCTGTGGCCACGGCGAACACCTGTGAACACCTGCCTCACAACAGTTTTCGATCAAGGGTGTTCCTTTCATGCTCTGTAATATGGGGAGGAACGGATTCAAACCGTGGAGCAAGTTCCAAGCTGCTTCCTAAAGGAAGAGGCTGGCTTTGCCTACAGCCATCTGTAGGGGCCCTCTGTGGGAAGGGAAGCCTTCTAATGAGAAAACAATCTATACCATCAGGCTCTCTAATTTTCATAATAGATCGTGCGCTTCCCCACAGCTTAACTGGTTCCCAACTGGCTTCTCTTATCTTGTCCCTAATCTGCAGAGAGAATATGCCTTAAACTGATGTCAGGCTCCTGTAGCAAAATCCAGTGGAAGAAACAGCATTAACGGGCCAACTGGAGACACCCACCGGCTGCTTCCGTGGCCAAGTGCCACCGCCGCTGCCCTGGGGCTTGTCTGGCAGTGCTTTCTCCCCGTTGATCCATATGCTCCGTGTGCCCCAGGAAAAGGTGGGCAAAGCTGTTTTTCTGGGCTGATGTATGCTCAGTAACTTCCCATACAACCCTGTTCTTTCTTGCCCTCCGGAAGTTCACAGCCAGGTTTGGGGTTCAGTCCCAGCACTTCTGATCAATGGTGACCTCCCTGTGCTAAGGTGCTTGTGTCCTGAGCCGTGCAGTGTAGATACACAGTCTACTTCATCCTTCACCAAAGGGTCATGAACTAGGTGGTGGCGTTCCCCTCCCAGCAGGGCATCCAGGGAGTAAGGGGTGGATGCAAGTCCAGGGAGACAGCAAGTGGGGCAGCCAGGACTAGGGCAAGCTCGCCGGGTGAAGAGGCTCTGCAGCTGCTGGGTCTCCTTCCTCATCTGCGTATCGGGGCTGGGGAGGCGGTGGAGGCTGACACAGGGCAGTGAGGAGGCATTCCCAACACCTCTGACTTTATTCCTATTTCTCCTACCTCGGCTGTCATTCTAGACAAGTCATATTCCCTCCGCCTCTACAAATGCAGCTAATTAAATTTTTAAACTTCAACATTCCCGGTCAAATGAGTAGTTCTAGTTAATTATAAAAATGATCTCTGAAGATCCCTGAGTCCCTTACACAAAAGTACTGATAGAAGCCCAAGAATCGTCCTTGAGTCCCACGGGATGACTGAGGGGCCTCACCTCACTGTGCCTGTCAGTGAGTGTGGTCTTCCTGACTCACCAAATGCTACTGAGAGAGACGTTTCTGACTTCTTTACAGGCCAGCAATAGGAAGGCATGGCCCTCAGCTGGAATGTGTGAAATTAGCTACACTATACAAAGACAAGAACCAAGACAAGAAAGAAATTAATTTGATTCATCCTTGTTTACACAATACACACCTAACCCTACATCCTGCATTCTACTTTGAAAGAAAACAAGAAAAACACCTGAGAATACACTGATACATGAACCAGAACAATGTGTTTGCTCTAACATCTAGCTACCAATTTAACTCCAAAACTGGGCAAAACACAGTGCTACCACATATACTCAAGCCAAAAAAAATACGTCTTGCTCCTCTGCAAATTTTAACACTGTGAGCCTAATTTCAAATTTGGTCAGTTGTTTGTTTTGTTTTTTGAGACAGACTCTCGTTCTGTTGACCATGATGGAGTTCAGTGGCACGATCTTAGCTCGTTGCAACCTCTGCCTCCTGGGTTCTAGCAATTCTCCTGCCTCAGCCTCCCAAGTAGCTGGGATTACAGGCGCCTGCCAGCATGACAAGCTAACTTTTTGTATTTTTAGTAGAGACGGGGTTTCGCCATGTTGGCCAGGCTGGTCTCTAACTCCTGACCTCAGGTGATCCACCAGCATCCGCCTCCCAAAGTGCTGGGATTACAGGTGTGAGCCACCACACCCAGCCTCAAATTCAGTAAGTTTTTTAATTCTTAGCTATACCTAAAACGTCTTTTTGGCATTTTATTTTCATTTCTATGGCAACCTCGTTCCAAAAACTCTTGATTAATGTTTTTTAATAACAGTTACAGAATGTTTAAAATGTAAGGGCTATCAAATTTAATGTGCCAAAAACTGCATAATATTACATAAATAAGTTTTTTGACTTTAAGACATTTTCCTCCAATGCAATGTAATTTAAGATGACATGGTTATAGCCCCATAGGTTAATTTTGAATTTGAAAAGAGTATCATTTTGAGAAACTATAAAACCTTAAATGCTCACTAACAATGCATGGCCTTGGATATGACAGTTAATTTCAATCCCTCCTGAAAAATTTCCTCATCCTTAAAGTCAGGGGGTGGAGACAAATGACCTCTTAGGTGCTAAGGATTTTTCAGATTCTGAAGTTCTGACTCA